TTCTTATCATCTCTGACTTCCTCTTATGTCCTCCTCTCATATCTTTCTGTGGAAGTTTCATTCCTCTCACAACTTTTTCTCCAAGCCTGACTTTCAAACATATTTTATCTTTTAACATCTCTCTTATTTTTGGTCTAACTTCCTTGCTGTCCTACTTGTTCCAAGCTTCTCTCTTCTCCCACCTTAACTAGCCTCCTCCTCTCATCTGTCTGAGACTTATCATTTATCTTCCAGTTCAAATGGAGGACAGACAGTGGAACCCGCAGTCAGATGACAGATTATCCCGCTCTGGTTTACAGTATTTAAAATATGAGGATTTAACAAACACCATGTTATCTAGTTTTACCATTTACCATTTAATTATGTCAATCCCCTCCCAAAAACAATAGTTTCTCAATATTCTGAAAGCACTTAATGGCACATTTCAGGCTATTATTTATTCATTTATTTCTGCCGCATTTTGGTTTTTTTTTCATGCAAAAGGGTTCATGCATTAAAGAGCTGGTGGATGTTTTATGCATGATGCCGTAGTGTGAGTAATGCCGAGCTGTCATCAGAGCAGCCAGGAGTTGTAAAGTATGATACTCGCCCTGAAGCTTTCCAACAACATGATGCACACTAAGCTCAGACCCAGAGGCTTTATTAAGGCTGGGATAAGGATGTGTGATAGATGTATTTTAGGAATGTTTTACAAGAAATATGGGGTCAAATAGAATTCTTTGCAATAAAAAAAATAGGCAACACAATTGATGCAAAAAGCGTTTGGATGTTCCAGCCAACAGGTAGGGAGAGCAATAATGGCGGTGTTGTTTTTCCTCAATAAAAAAATCTGTTGAATGTGAATATTTTCTTACACTGATCTAATGTCTGACGTCCTTTTATCTGGTCAAATTAAAAAATGATTATATATATGGAGATAGTTAGATTTGTGTCATTATTATGTATGTGAACAGATCAACAATCTGTGCAGAAAAAAGTGCATATATACACTGTTGCCCATACAGTTGGAATAACATTTATTTGACCTCTTTTCATGAAATGATTGTGACAATGTCATTGAAGTGTATATCATCTCGAAACGTTATTGATCAATGTCTTCCAAACATGTCACAGTGAAAATTAAACCACAATTAAAAGAGCAATGTATCTGAAAACTAAATTATTCCAACTCTACAGGCAACAGAGTATATAACATCTGCAAATTGCAAAAATAATATCTCAATATATTATTTTGATTTACAAGTAAATAAAAACAATTTTTCAATGTCTTTATACTTTTCACTGGTCTGAGAAAAATCCTTCTTGTATCACTCTGCCATCTTTGGATAGCATGTGAAGAACTGCTGATGTCATTTCCACATTTGAAAGTAGCATGCAGTCTGAAGAGGTTTTTTAAATAATCAGCGGCAAGTAATGTAAATTAAAATAATCTTTTTAATGCGTGAATGACACAGAGTCAGTATCTTGTGTTCATTTGTTAAATGTATTATAACTGTTTTAGGAGATGCAACTTTTTAAAATGCTGTTCCTAAGCATTTATTCCAGGTCCTACATAAAACAGCATGTCTCTACAACTTCCAGAGTTGCCGTTTTAATTCCCTCTGGGAAATGCTGAATAATGAAGGCACTCCTGGGACTGCATGGTGCTGCGGATTAACTTTTCTCCAATTGGCATAAAAATGGGATATAAAGCAGCATGAATATCGCATTCGTTACCCCTGGTCTGACCCACATTTTGAAGCAGATTTTCTTTTGAGAGTTAGATGAGCTTCGGGCAAAATAACGCAAAAGTATGATTTATACTTGGCCAAGACTGTCACTGTGTGTGAAGCAATGATTGATCTGCAATCAATTTTGACAACTTTAGATTGCCTCAAGCATGCATTCATTTGTGTATCTGATTGAACATTAAACAAAATAACTGCAGTTTTTTGCAGCATGCGTCCTAATTTCTTCCTGCATACAATTATTTCACAGATAGTTGCTACTAGAATAAAAATAGCATCTGACAGTTTTCAAAGTCTAGCATCGAATGATTGAAGCTGTGAGTGATCAGAGGAGGGGTTACACTTTATATTTTGTATATTTTCCTGTATCTCAGCTGGAATAACAGCAGAGACACAGCTCAATAAAGAATGCTGGCACTTTAAAAAAACGATATATATTTGTCTAATGGCAATACTATGATGGCTGACAGGGGCAAGCGCAACATCATCCCAAAACACTTCCATTAGGAGAAAAGCGCTGCACTTAAAGAATATACATATAAAAACACAAATGTGCCAAAACACCTCTAATGAAGAAACATCTTCATCAACTTGATGAGATTTGTGCAGCGTTTACTAATAGTTTAACTAAATGAATTGCTGTAAATACAAAACGGAAACCAGGGGTCATTAAAAAGTGACGCACATAGCTGGGGCCAGAGTGTTTGTTGAAGTTCAGGGATTATAAAGTTGGCCAACTGTCACCGGAAACGTACCAAAAATTAACGTTTTATCTGCTTATTTTTTTAATTGTTATTGCATTACTCCTTCACATATTATTGCAGATCAGCTGTAAGCTGGCTAGCTAACCTGGCTAAGCTAGTCCTTTCAAATACACTGACAAAACACTTACAAGCGTTTGTTTCGTTTCTACAGCGCTTTTAATAAACTCTTTGCATGTTTCGTCAAATCGGTTAATATATTGCTGCACATGTGTTGTCAAGTTAGTACATTTGTTTCTTCATTTGCATGATTTAGCACATTTGTGTTTTCATTTTTTGCATTCTACATTGCAAAGTGTGTTTCTCCTAATGTTTCGGGCTGTTGTCGGCCACTGTACAATACAGATTGGTGACAATTTAAAGGGGAAAAAAAACACAACAAAAAATTATGTGACCTGCTCCATCGAAATCAGTCGCATTGACCCGAAGACACATTTTGAGTTGTATACACTGTTGGAAAGAGGAGATTCCTAGCTTTCTAATGGTATCAGGATTGTTGTTGTACTCCAAATATTAAGCAAAATATGTCACATTATATAATGACTGTCACCGAGTCATCATTTTGAGAAAAAGGCCTTCAAAGTTTCCTCTTCTCTGGAATCCATCGATCTGATTGATTATTAGCGGAGCAAATGATCAAAATACTACGGAGGGAAGATATTTTCGTTTGGATTACTGGTCTGGGGGAAGCTCGCGAGTGTGTGTGTGTATACGTGTGTGTGTGTTTGTGTAATTTTGCGTTTGTGTGTATTGTGTTTGTTTCCCGGGGAAAACACTCACGAGAAACACCGGCTGTTGTTATGCCTGCTGTGACTTTAAATTACTCCGTTCTCCGCTTGTAATTATGCCGTTACAAGCTTCAAAGTTGTATTTATCATCTGAATTTGCCGAAACAAGTTTAATATTCTGAAAGCCAAGACTTTGTTTATTTGAAATCAGATGAAAACAAACTGTAACGGACCCTGCCGTGTTATCTATGATTACTATACGCCTTACATTCATAATTTCAGCCGGAGGGAGGGGAAGAGGCGCTGCGGAACAGCAGAGTGGCGAGTGAGAGCTGTCATCTTCCCTTTATAAGCTTCAAACATGTATTTATCGTGTGATTTTGGAAATAAAAGTTTCATATTCTGAAAACCAACACTTTGTTTATTTAAAATCAAACAAAACACCCGAATACGGAAATCCACGTTTATTTTGAAATGAGCCGTTGCGACTTCCGACTGATTTCGATAGAGCGGGTCACATATATACAACCTGTTTTATTGTTAATTTATCCAAAATGGAAATTAACAAGGCATCTTTTTTCCCTATAGCAGAATTTCAAATGATGTAAATGTCAAAGAATTCCCGGCCTGGATGTACACAAGGTTGAATCACTCTTGCGCATCAGTTGAAAAGTCACAAAGCTGACATTAATATGGAAGTGTTAGGGATTATAACTTAAACATGGAGACAGAGACAGACACATGATGGCGACATTAAAGGGATACGAGGTGATTCATGCTGCTGCTGTATGAGTAACACATAACTGTCAACATAACAGTGATGATGATAGGAAGTGACATTATTATCCTCAGGGTTTATTTGCATGAAGACAAATCTCCTACACTCCTGACTCCATTCCGCTGTTAGTGTAAACTCAATGAGGTCATTGGGTGCTTGGTTTAATGATTCCTAGACATCCCTTTTTTTCGGGTATTTGCTCAAAATAACACGATTCCTCTTTCAGTGTTTGCTTTGCTTTTTCTCATTTTAATTTTCATACACATGATGCAACTCACAGTGCTATGGCAAATAACAAGACAACCAGAACATAAGCAAATACAGGTCAAGCCTTAAAAGCTATTGACAAACATGTGTACAAGACAAAATGAATAACTCAATATCAGCGTTGTCAGTGGTGGAATGTTAGTCATTTACTTAAGTATTATACTTTAGTACTATTGTCACATATTTGACTTGAGTATTTCCATGTAACACTACTTTAAACTTCTACATTTCAGACTAAAACATTTTATGTTTACTCCACATATTTTAATCAACACTCAGAGTTAGTAGCTATTTTGCACATATAAAAACAATGATGTGCCAATATGATGTATACTATAATTCTAATCTATTCAGGATTTTAACAACTAAATATTGTTCTTCAGCTCATTATTGACAAACGAAAAAAGTATTAAAACCCTATTACTTATATTTCATAAAACAGCATAGTAATATTCTAATACTTTGAAAGAGGTATTTGAAAAATAGCACCATCCCCCCCCCCGCAGTGATTGCGCCGCATAAGGCTAACGCCGCAGGCCCCACGCAGTCTGCGTGGTCTGCGTGTAGGGAGGGGCGGGCCTGGGTATTCTGCCTATTGAACAACTTATACTTGTATTCATTTTGAATTCAGGACTTTTTCTTGTAACGGAGTATTCAGACACCTTATTATTTCTATTTTTATTTGAGAAGAGGATGTTCGTCTTCACCGTGTGTGTCAGTGTGTTTGTGCCGATAGTACCTGTCTGCAGGCCCTCCTGGCCTGATGTAGGTGACCACTAGGGGGCGCGACTTGTGCCAGTCTTCATGTGAACCACCTGCAAGAAAAGCAAAGGTTGAAGCTGTTGACACAAAACAACTGCACCTTCTATATTTATTTCAACATTTCATTAATTCTTCTGAAACCTTTCAATCCTAAATACTGTGAAGTATGAGTACTTGTCAAAACATGTCTGTGTCAAAAAATAAGTTCAACTAATTGTTGGCAGTAAGGGGTTAAGCTACCTATTTCTAAAAATGAAAACCTCACAAATGGATGTATACACCAACAGGACAAATAGGAGAAATTAATGGTTTTCTAAACGCGAATCAGGTCAACTTTTTTTTTTTTTAATGTCATCAGAAATATAAAGTACACAATTTGTAATAAATTAACGTCTCATTAAAAAAAAGAAGATATTGTTGTTACCCATTAATAATCTAAGTGTGCCACGTTTACTAAATTATATCAGAGAAAATAGACTTTTACAGCTACATTTTCCTTTTTTAATAATAAATAATGCATTGTAATCATAATTGTGTTGCATATCACTGACATTAACAGTGGAACTATAAAATACTTCTCATTGAGTCATCTTCATTTTTTCACATAGTTCAAAGACCGTTTTTGTATTGCTGGATGGTTACCTCTCATCACGAATCCAAAGCTGTTCCCCTCCTTGTGCAAACAGATGTCGATTGTCTTTGATATAACCCCTGAGGTGCTGTCTGGAGCTGTGAGAGAAGGTAAAGAGAAAAATAATTTGCTGCTAGCTGTTAAGTATTTCTAAGCATAATTTACTTCTATTGCTCCATTATTGTGAGCAATTAAGGTTTTTGTTCTCCTACACAAAGTTTAACATCTTGCTAATGAAAAGTTTAATACCAAAAAAAGGAACAGATGTTGATTGATGATGCCTATATTCTTCTTTATTGCTTTTACTGTGGCGACTTATATTACAATCATATTATCTCAAATTGCACTTTAATAACATACAAAATAGAGAGTGACAATCATTCTATCCTCAAGAGCATATTGCGTCTGACAAACCTGTACCGACATTATTTTTCATTGAAATTAATGAGTAGACTTTATTTTCGTGCCCCGTATCCTAGTGTAAGATGTTCATAGTGAAACATACTACGGTGGCCGAGAGGTGCAAACGCATTACAGTGGCCAAAAACATTCCCACTCCCAGTGTGAGTTTCAAAAAAGTTGCAAATTATAATGACAAGTCAGAAATAATTACAGATCTTGTAACAAACCTAGCTAACCTAGTAATGTCAGCAGGAATCGTTGGATCACATTGTTAAAATAAGCCAATAAAACATATATTTTAGGTAACTTTCCACCAACAGTGACAATTATAATCCCCCAAATTTCAACATGTTCTCCGGCCCCAGCTGTTTTCATCACTTTTAACACTAGAACCGCCAGAGATTTTTTATACCTAAAACCGCCACCTGGGTCAAATTGACCCGCTATTAGAATGCATTGATTTTCAAGGCAAAATGTTCTTTTATTGAACAGTGAGTTTTGATCGCACAGGGATGAGACGTATACCAATATAATCTGTGGACTCTCAGGGCTCGACATTATAAATGGCCCGCTGGCCCGGAAGCATTATTTAGACACCGCGGCCAGCATAACGTACTTTCAACTTGCCCCACAGCTGTTTGCTGCGGAGCGCAGCGCGAGCAGTCTCCCATGAGCGGGAGCGCACTCCTTCACTACAGACTGTCTCTATCTCTCTCTCTCTCTCTATCTATAACTATTTGTCAATATATCTATCCATCTATCTCTCTCTCTCTCAATCTATCTCTCAATCTATAAGGAACCGCAGTAGACAAAAGGCGTTGCTATAGTAACACGTCATGTTTATATGAAAAGGGGTGGGGTCAATATGACCCGCTGGGCGGAAATAGGTATAAATGGCAATTTTTTGGGCGATTTCTTCAATCTGACTTCATATTGACCATTTTTAACAACATAGGGTGCTACATAACACACTTTCAGGAAAAGTCACGGACTGGAAGACTTTAATATTTTATTGAAAAAAAGTTACACACAATAAAAAACAGCTCTGGGTCAAATTGACCCGATTGGCGGTTCTAGTGTTAACTGTCCTCGTTTCCATTAGTTTTTTTACGTCTTGCAGCGTTTTCTCATTTGCAGCATTTTGTATTTTCAGCGTTTTTATTTTCATCCGAATGGAAATGTTTTGGCCCGTTTTGGCGTGTATGCTCTTGTCAGCCACCATAATTTCACAGCTCTATAAAACACCAACATTCAGTGCTGTAAACATTATATTTCAGGAAAGACTCTGGTCAACCCCTCCCCCCAGAAGACACAAAGGTTTTGAATTTCCCCATCCTCACATCATTCCTCATACTGTAAACCTTACACATGTGTGGTCATTGCTATCTCTTTAAAAAGAGCAGAGCTTTTTCCATTGAAGTTCTGAAAAACTGTGCATATTGTAATCATTTGTCATTTTTTGTTTCATTTTTTTGAAAATAGTGATTTTAATAGTATGATATTTGCTTCTTTTTTTCACAACGTATTTCCTCTTATTGTGTTGATATATGCACCATTATATATATTTTTTTCCGCAAGCACATCTTCAGTACATGTGTGTGTGGAGCTGAAGTGATGTACCTGTAGGGGGCAGTTCGTACTCCACCTCCAGCAGGACTCTCTCCCCGACGTTCTTCAGTAAACTGATGATCTCTTCGTGCCGCAGTTTGGTCAGATTGATGCCATTCACAGACTTTATGTAGTCACCCACATTGAGCTGGTCACTCCTGCACAAAAGAAAAGGAACAAAGCATGGACAAGTGGGTATGAATGACTTTGGATTTAATCACATTTTAATGAAACAATCAGAGATACATTAAAATGTTGCAGGTACAGCATATTTTCCAATAGGCATTCTTCTTTCACTCATCGTTTTCACTTTAGCTTTTTAATGTCAGATAAAAATCTGGGGGTTGAGATGACGTGCCTTTGTGACGTGCAACAACATTAACATGAACCTTTCTGCTGGTCGCTTGTTAGTAGACCCTTCACACCATGGCAGAGCGAACAGGTACAGCCAGGGCCCATAGTGATAGCCCTATAGTTCAAATATACTACCCACAAATAAACATATGGACATGGGTTACTATTTTAAAAAAATGGTAAATGTATTTAGGAACCTATCAATGTGATTTTAATTGGGGGTGGACCTCAAATCCTCTAGGGGTCCGGGGGCATGCTCCCCCGTTAAGATTTATTTATTTATTTTGGAGTTAAATGCATCAATCTGGTGCATTTTGAGGGGCAAATAAAGAGACTAGACCTATGGGAACACCTATATGAAACAGAACTGTATACATTTCAATAATCATAAAATCATGGCCATAACCAATAACATACCATATCCAATATGAAAATACACTGAAACTTGTTTATTTATTTATTTTTGGTTCATTTATAGTTGTGAGTGTGTCTGTGCTCCTGAATCAGCCTCTCCTGTCTCTCTCCCTCCTCTCCTCTCCTCTCCTCTTTGAGGCAGCAGCAAAGACTAGTTTTAGCTCTCAACAAGTTTTAAAAGTGTATCTTACCTTTTTTCACCTAGTTCACTTTTTTATTTTTTATTCATGCATATTTTACTAATCACTACCCCCTCAAATGGAAATCAAACCGTTTGAGACCCACTGAGAACTTAGACTAAGTTAACTATCTAAACACTCAGAGAGTCCTTTACCTCACCTGAGCTGAGGTTATCCTGAGCTTGAATGACACACAGAGACCAATCAAGGGCTTTGATTTATGATCTGTATGACAGTGGCCATGTCGGCAGGCCACATCATGTAGACAGCCAGTCACCCTGTGTGAGGCAGGCCACATCATGTAGACAGCCAGTCACCCTGTGTGAGGCAGGCCACTTAACAGGCCTGGCCATCGGGAAACCCCCTGGTCCTCCCGATGGCCAGTCCGGGACTGGGTACAGGAGGCGTAGAGCGAGGGATCATTGTCCACAAGTTAATCGATAGCAGATGGCGTCGTGGTCGCGGACGAATAAAAAAAAAATATATATATATATATATATATATATTAAAAAAAAATTAAAAAAAAAACTAAATGGGTCGCGAAATATACTTGGGCGGCCGTTAATATACCTGGGCGGCCCGCCCAAGTATAGTCTATGTGTGGGAAACCCTGGAGATATTCTATTACTTATATAATTTATACATCACTGTATTTATTTTATTGTACAGGTTATATAGTAGTTAAAGTTTATATACATATTTTTTGTATTGGATTTGATATTTCTTTGGACATTTCACTTTAACTTCTTAAGTTTATATACATCTTTATTTCATTTTTTTTTTATATCTTAGTATGGCATACATTTTTATATAAATATTTGAAATTATATAATTTTTATTGATATCCTTCTATGGAACGGATGACACAGAACCCAAAACAAAAGTATTCTGAATCTGATTCTCTGGTGTTGCCCCCACCTGGCTGCCAGCCCTCCAGGCCGCAGGTTCGACACCCGGGGTTTCCCATCCTTGTCTGTTCCTCCGGAGATGGTGAGGCCCAGCGTGCTGCCTTCCTTCTTCACCAGCTCCACCATAGTCACCCCCCGCAGAGCTTCTAACCAAAAACACACATACACATAAAGACAAATACAAACACACAAACAGGGACGGAAATGGACGCACCCACACACACAGATGTGCAAACAGAAACACACACACACATTCAAACAAACAGATACAGCAGAGAGGTGGAAAGTGGTTAGCGGCTTCTCTCTGTCCATTCTGATTGGCGGATTAAAAGGAAGCTGAGTTACAGGAAAGATAAATGGAAAGCTGTTTGCTGCCGTGTGTCCTTGAGTGAGATCCCCCGTCTGCTCAATATGAGAGTCAGCTGAAAGGACTAAAATGTAAATGTGAAGATCAGATAAGATAAGCATCAGTTAATGAGAAATAACAAAGCCTCGTGTTTCATGCTCTTTCTCCGCTTGCAAAGTTCCTGGCAGGGATGGAAAGGCCTTGAAAGGTTAAAGCACATCATCGGTAACAGCAAATTACAACAGTCACTCTTCACAGTAAATTATGTGTACTTCATAAGATATTTTTTATGACACAACAAAATACATAGCCCTAACTCTAACCCTAAGGAAAGGCATGTTCCTGTAGAGATTTGTTTTCACAGTTGTTATAGTGTGGCCTGTATCACACTTAATTCTCCTTGTTAAATACCTGATTATATACCAGTGCATTGACAACCATAGATGGGTACTTGACCTGTTTTACAGTGAGAGTCTCTATAAGGGAAAATGTGATCATATTTACATGAAAAGTGTTTTTGCCGTTGAGTTGTTGTTGTGCATCCATGCCGCTGTTGCTTGCATGCCTTGTTTACATCAGCGATAAGCTAATTGTGCTTAAGCCGGTTAGCATGGCGGTCGGAAAATATACTATCCCTACTGCAATCTGGAGAAGGATACAGTAGGTAAACCAAAGAGACGAAGGAGGAGAGCTGGGTCCAGATTTAAGGAGACAAATAAGTAGTTTCTCCCCCCTGTTAGCATGGGCAACATAAGATCACTGTCTAAGGGAATGGACAAGCTAACAGTGTTAGCTAGGAGTCAGATTAAGTATCTGGAGTGTAGTTTAATGTGCTTTACAGAAACATGTCTGATATATCTCACAACAACGTTTCCATCGTCTTTCAGGACTGTTTGGGTTGACAAGGATTGCATTGAGAGTTTCACCATGTCTTCATCATGAGCCTGAGTCTTCATCATGAGCCTGAGTCTTCATCGTGTCTTCACCATGAGCCTGAGTCTTCATCATGAGCATGAGTCTTCATCATGTCTTCACCATGAGCCTGAGTCTTCATCATGAGCATGAGTCTTCATCATGAGCCTAAGTCTTCTTCATGAGCCTGAGTCTTCATCATGAGCCTGAGTCTTCATCATGAGCCTGAGTCTTCATTGTGTCTTCACCATGAGCCTGAGTCTTCATCATGAGCCTGAGTCTTCATCATGAGCATGAGTCTTCATCATGTCTTCACCATGATCCTGAGTCTTCATCATGAGCATGAGTCTTCATCATGTCTTCATCATGAGTCTGAGTCTTCACCAAGAGCCTGAGTCTTCATCATGTCTTCACCATGAGTCTGCGTCTTCATCATGTCTTCATCATGTCTTCATCATGAGTCTGAGTCTTCATCATGTCTTCACCATGAGTCTGCGTCTTCATCATGTCTTCATCATGAGTCTGAGTCTTCATCATGAGCCTGAGTCTTAGTCATGTCTTCACCATGAGCCTGAGTCTTCATCATGTCTTCACCATGAGTCTGAGTCTTCATCATGTCTTCATGAGTTTGAGTCTTCATCATGTCTTCATGAGTTTGAGTCTTCATCATGTCTTCATCATGAGCCTGAGTCTTCGTCATGTCTTCACCATGAGCATGAGTCTTCATCATGTCTTCACCATGATCCTGAGTCTTCATCATGAGCATGAGTCTTCATCATGTCTTCATCATGAGTCTGAGTCTTCACCAAGAGCCTGAGTCTTCATCATGTCTTCACCATGAGTCTGCGTCTTCATCATATCTTCATCATGTCTTCATCATGAGTCTGAGTCTTCATCATGTCTTCACCATGAGTCTGTGTCTTCATCATGTCTTCATCATGAATCTGAGTCTATATCATGTCTTCACCATGAGTCTGCGTCTTGATCATGTCTTCATGAGTTTGAGTCTTCATCATGTCTTCATCATGAGCCTGAGTCTTCGTCATGTCTTCACCATGAGCCTGAGTCTTCATCATGTCTTCACCATGAGTTTGAGTCTTCATCATGTCTTCACCATGAGTCTGAGTCTTCATCATGTCTTCATGAGTTTGAGTCTTCATCATGTCTTCACCATGAGTCTGAGTCTTCATCATGTCTTCACCATGAGTCTGAGTCTTCACCATGTCTTCACCATGAGTCTGAGTCTTCATCATGTCTTCACCATGAGTCTGCGTCTTCATCATGAGTCTGCGTCTTGATCATGTGTTCATCATGAGCCTGAGTCTTCGTCATGTCTTCATCATGTCTTCACCATGAGTCTGAGTCTTCATCATGTCTTCATCATGAGTTTGAGTCTTCATCATGTCTTCACCATGAGTCTGAGTCTTCATCATGTCTTCACCATGAGTCTGAGTCTTCACCATGTCTTCACCATGAGTCTGAGTCTTCATCATGAGCCGGAGTCTTCATCATGTCTTCACCATGAGTCTGAGTCTTCATCATGTCTTCACCGTGAGTCATCAGAAGGTCCTTGGGCTGTGGAGGACATCCTTCTTCTTTACTGTTCCTGTGACACTCTGTCCCAGTGGCTACAAGGACTTTTATTGAGTGGAAACAAGGATCAAAGAATGGTGGATTGTTCTGATTTATAACAACAGAAGGACAATAAACTTCTGTACAGTGCAATATTCCCTCAACACTCAATTAAACTACTGTACGAACAAAGGATCACAACGTCTAGACTGCAACTACTCTCGGGCGGAGTCAAGGCTTCATGAAGTAAACAACTCGATGGGTTGAATTGGGAATGAAACTCGAGTTTACCTTCAAAATCGTTTTGGTTTTGAGGTTAAAAGTTCATGAAGAAAGACTTGTTACATTGTGATATCAAACATCTACAAAATATAATGAGTTTGGCTGCATATCATCCGCAAGCCTTTGAAGAAGGTACTGAACACCAAACTGTAAGCAAATACAGAGAACAAAAAAACGGAAGAAAAAAACTGATTTTCTCCCAACTACTGAAATAGTAATGTGTCTCTTTAGCTGCTATATACTCCTCTTTGTTCACCACCTCTCTGAATGCACATGCCCACAGTTTGGTGCTGAGCAGGAAGTGTACAGCGGGTTTTAAGAGCTAAATCACTGAGAAAACAGATGCTGTGTGCAGCGAAAAATAAGAAGTGTGTATGAATCAGAACTGTAGATGTATGTCCCGGGTTGAGTTGCAGTTTTCATGATAAGTATCTGTAGGTGTATCACAAAAAGCAGCCACTTTCAATATGTCACATCCTTTATTGAAAGATGTTCTAAAGATCATGCTTATCATGTTAAAGTAAAAGGCAATATTAATCAGAATGATAATCTGAATTCTTAATGTTATCCTGGGGGAAGGTGTGTTTTGTGACAGTTGCTCCACTGAATTTTGAAATAAATTAAAATATACATACAAAAAAGATTAATAAGATATTTATATAAACAATTGTATATATGTATATAAACAAATTAAGTTAGAGTGTACAATACAAATAACAAGTAAATAAGGAAGTTTTAGAAAAACACATTAAAGGTAGGGTAGGTCAGTTTGAGAAACCGGCTCGAGATCGCTAGAATTTGAAAATACACAACTGGAGGAAATCTGCCACTTCCTTACAGAGCCCCTCCTCCAACACACACGAACGCGCACATGACCAATGAGGGCACGAGATAAGTTTGTGCACAGATGGAAGGCTGACAGGCAGGTAGGCCATCCAGTTATTTTAGCTGGGCCGGCTAAAATGATTGGTCGTGCTTTTTACAGTATTACTGCTTCCACAGATGACATTTTTTTATGGATTTTTTGTCAAAGCACTTAAGATATTTATTGCTATCGGGATGTTAAGAGCATTCCATGGAATATAACAAAAAGTGTATCTCGAGCCGGTTTCTCAAACTTACCTACCCTACCTTTAAGCTAAAGTACAATATAATACTAAGATATGTTTATAAACTTACATTTGTTGTCAAAATGTCCACACTTTTCTACAACATATAATATATTACATTACAAATAATTTATGTGTAAGTAATATAATATCTCAATATAGGTAATATAGCAGCAGTATTTTGCAGATAGATTATTTTTATTGACATTTTTAATACAATAATGCATTTTGATTCAAAGCAGCCAGGAGAACATTAGCAGGTAAAAGGAGAAAAGCATTGATGTAAAAAGTAGAAAGTAAACCTTGACACACAACCACGCACACACGTGCACAGGTGAGATGAAGCTTTGGTGTAATAGATGGTTAGATTAGTTCAATCCCTGAGGTGCTCTGAGGATCAGTGAGGTGCTTCATACCACAGCTATATCTGGGGGTTACAACACACACATATTCACACAAACACACATTACCTGCAAAAGGCACTTAATCATTCATTAGTGCCTGTACTGTTCATATTTGCATAAAAGTATTAAAGCTTTTACACGTGTAGTTTGATGCCGATGGGTTCTTCTGAACCGAATCCCTCTCAAAATGAGTTATTTTATCAACAGATGCAGGAGTGAGTGTGTTGGGATTCATAACGTTTTATCTACCATTTCATTTTGATGCTTAGGAATACACAGGAGAAGATTATACAACACAGACAGTAACTCATGAAATGGTTTTTATTATCAAAACAGAGAACCGAGGAAAGTTATTTCACATCTAATGATGATCCGGGAAATGGAAAGATGTTATCTCTCTCAAACACACATGAAGGTATGGGGGGGGGGGAATGACACACATTTAGACAACATTGTAAGCTATTAAAGCAAAGTGATGCTTGAAACTATACATGCATAAAGATTGGTACAGAAAATATGAGGAAAACAGCAAAGAATAAATAGAAAGAAAGAAGAAATAGAGAAATAGGATGGTGGACTCAATGGAGGCATTTGAACAAATTCATAAGGGAAAAAGAAAGCGTATACAGGTAATAGTGGAGGGAAATTTGGGATTTTAGCCTTTGCAGACCATTTACATGCACACAAATCTACAAACACACTACAGGAAAGGGAACACATCAAATGCATAATAAGGCCTCTTTAAAGAAATTCTGATGAGAAAGAAAGTAATAATGATTACAGATTTTAAAAAGCACAATTTGATACAGAGCATAAATGTATCATTCAGAAATATGAATACGAACATTTAAACACAATTCTCAAATAATACAGACATTTTTTGAGCTTGTACTGTTGGCTCTCTTTAAGCCATGTGTCTGCTTGATGGTTGGCAATGAAAGCAGCGCAATGAATAGTGTAAGAATAATCATGCTCTTTTATTGTGGTATATTTCCTGTTTGCATTGGATGTTGGGTTATGCCATACTGTACTGCAGGGCTAGGGTTAGGCCCATTCCCATTTTAGGCCCATTTAAGTTGATATGAGGAGAAGCACTGTCTCCTCTCCACTGTTTCACAATGACTGGCTGACCATTAGTTTACCATTAAAGGATATATTGTTTTTGTAAAGTAAAATAAATGGGATATCATAAATAAATACATAACATAAATAATGGTAAACGTCTCGAGGGCTATGGCAAGAATGATCAGAATGCATTTAGGGAACCTTTCAGAACAGGCACATTTAGTAGATAATAGACAACGTGAGACCTTGGTGTTATCACACTGTATCTGCAGACATAAGGTCACACTGTCATCAAAATACAAAGTAGATCAGAATAAGATAGTGAACTAGAGTCAACATGATCTTGTTTGCACAGCACATTTTTTTAAATGCTTCAAACTCTTTGAGCAAATCGCTGTCATCAAATTATACCACTTAGGCATTTGTCTGAGCCAAATCATGATAAGATCCTTATGATGATTCAGTGTGTGACAAAGTCTGTATTATAGAGTTCACAGTAGTTTACTAAGCATTGGATGGATAGAAGGATAGATGGGGATAGATAGATGGCTTTACCTGGTATACTGTGTCTTCTGGAGGCCATGGTCTGTTCTGGTCCGGAGATATCTTTCGTTTTTCCATATGGTCCGTCATCTACAAAAAAACAGAGACAAACAGAAAAGCTTTAGAGGTACTGATGCACTTCTTTAATTTATCTCAGACTGGCAGGGGAGGACTGGGACACAAATTCAGCCCGGGACGTTCAGACGCACCGGCCCTCACCGGCCTACGCGTGCGGACCACCCTTGTAGCCTACAGATAAATTGTACCTCTATGCTCATCATGGGCGGCGCCAGAGATTTTCTTTTGGGGGTGCTGTGGGGTAGCTTGACGTTTAATAGAGGGTGCTCAAACATTTAGGGTTTCCCATTAATGTACCGGTCGCTACAGAGGAATTTTCTACTGCAACACTCCCCACACGCACATACACAGTACACCCGCGACTGTTACAATGAAGGCTCGATAGTCAGCTCACGGCATATAGGTGTAAGCAGGGGTAAAGTGCTATTTTTTATAAGTGGGGGGTGGACCTGACATCCTCTAGGGGGGTCCGGGGGCACGCTCCCCCGGGAAGATTTTGTTTTTATTATTGAAGTTAAATGCATTAATCCGGTGCACTTTGAGAGCAACATGAAGAGATCTATGGATACATCTCTCAACACCCATATAAAACAGAACTGTAAACAGATTTACTTTTTCTTTGTGGATATGTTACTAATCATTCCCCTTTTAAACTGTATTCTTGTTTAACTGTCATATAGCCTAGTATTTCATTTGAATATGTTCTGTACTGCATTTGTATGTATACACTGAATGAGGCAACATTGGGAGCATTGTCTTGATAAAGTTGCAGAAACACCAATGCATTTACAAAACTAAAACAAAAAACTCTTAACCTCACTCTCTTTAAGATTCACATTGTACATCATAGACTGATTTGGGTCAATCATATTGTGCTTTAATAATGCACATTTAGTTCCATAAGATAATAAACACCCCATCTTTGCCTCGCATTTCATCATAAATTAGAGTATCCCCCAAGCATTCCACTGATGAGCAAAAAAGAAGACAAAAGATACTCTCCTTTACGTGCTCTTATGTTTTTCTGTATTTACTGAAAAGCTTTCTGGCAGGTTCTTCCAAATAATAGCCAAACTAGTGGCATGGCTGTAGGGAGGACAACATCCGTCCATTGTTCAGTTGGTCCAACATTCGGCCCAAAAGTGAAATATCTTGAATCACATGCTGTACAAACATCCAGAAATGTCCAGAAAATTAGTCAAAATGACATTGGTGAGCCTGTCATGTTTCATATATTGCCACAGAATTTCCTCTTGTCTGGTATTAAAATGTGACAAGGTTAGACATCTGAAAATTTTTATACATTTTTTTGTAATCTCCAAAACAACTTGAACAGATCCAGCCGCACTGGATCTCAATGCATAAAGAGCTGCTCTCCGTACATGCTGTGTGAATACTGAAAAACCTACCTCACATGTAATCTACTTAGCACCATCACAGTTACATCTACTCTGTATGTACAACCTTGTAAACTGATTATGTACAAGGAAACATTTGCAGGAACTTGAAGTGAAATGTAGTTTTAGACACAGTTGCTGCTCTTTAATAGTTCGACACGTTGGTAAATACACAGTAAGGCCATTTTTGAAGGGTTGATCAGTCTCATCTATGCTTGGCCATCACTGTAAAATATCACATGGGGGAACAGATGTCCTGTTTTATGGTCTGGCAGAGACTGGAATAATCGTATGAGGATTGTAATATTTAAAAAAGCTATAAATCCAGTTCTCCTCGGGTCTTTAAAGGTGTATGCAACTGGACTTTTAATATACTCAATAAACGGCACATGCTAGAGGCCTGCGAGAAGTCATTGTTCAACTCCAATGCTGAATAACCAACCAATCAATCAGCCAGAACATTTATATATAAATTATTAATGAGCCATAGGCCTACAGGTAATCTTGAAGAGGCTAAGATGACAGTACAAGAAACAAAAACAGAGCCTGGGAAGGGTAGGACAAATTAAATCAATACAGAAAACAACAATATAGTCATGGAATGTAAGTATTACTATCTATTTCCCCAAATGTTACATTAAAGAAACAATGATAGTTGTGATCGAATTACTTTAAAGGTCTCCTATTATGCAATTTTTAGGCATATATTATGGCTCTCAGATATATAAAAACATGTCTATGATGTGTTTTGCTCAAAATACCAAACAGATCATGCATTTTAGACATCCCTCATATCCCTCTATTTCAGCCCTGTTGGAGAAACGCTGATTTTGGGTCCTTAGGCAACACAGTCTCACTCCCTGATCGTCAAAGAGCGACGCTTGGCAGTTTTGATGCACCGAGTCTCCTTCAGCTTCATAAACGTACGCAAAGAGCTTTCAACTGATTGCAATGTATTCCCATCGGCGGCGGTATTTGACGCACAGGGAAGCACCGCATCGGTCCATGTCGGCGGCAGTTAAAGGCAATGTGAGCGTCCATTGGATAACGGAGAATTTTACACCCGGAAGTAAGTATTCTCCTTACTGTCGATTGATTTTACAGTGATATCTGCACTACTCATCAACTCACAAACACCAGATTATCCTTGTTAATTACACAACATTGATTGGTTTAAATTATGTACAATGCTTTTGTGTTTTCCCCCTTCGATTCGGAGAAACAAATATTTTTTCGGAGTTTAGGATGGCAGAAGACACTACACTACCCATAATCTTCAACTATCGTTTGGGACTACACTAGCCGCTTTGCTTGACAAACCCCGTGATTAGTCCTCAAGCTCTGTGATTGGATGTTGGAGTGGCAGTGCGCCAAGGTTACGCCGAGCTTCAAACAGCACTTTGAAACGGAATGAAGCCCATCGACGGCACATTATCCAAAACAGGATTCAAACTAGTCCACCCCCACCCGCCAGAACTACACATGCTGGCTATATGTGTGTTTCGCAACATGTTCTATGGCGCGTCTCTACTGGGAATTGTAGTTTTAAAAGACGTTTTCGTATTTCCCATAATTAGAAGTTGCCAGTATTAAACTGTGTACATCCCTGGAGGTTTAGGGGATAGGAAACACATTGGTGTTATCACATTTAAAAAATATCATCTATAAATGGGGGGAAATTGCTTGTGTCCATAATGGGCAGCATTAACATGACAGCTCAGGTCAGAAGAGTTTTATTTTATAGCTGGTCTTATGTCTGTGACCCCTCCTGTTGTTCATTGATAAGCCTGAAACATGCACTTGTCAAGGTTCAGAGGCACATTTTGCAAATATGGCAGTAGCCATCGATCATCTTAAGATAAGATAAGATAAGACATACTTTATTGATCCCAAGTTGGGAAATGTTTTTGTTACAGCAGCATGTAAAACATGCAATTTATTGTTACTTTGTAATTCTACTCAAGGTTCAAGGCTTTTATTGGTCATACGCACATAGCTACAGTGTAGTTATGACGATGAAAATCTTAAGTCACAGCTCCTCCAACAGAGCAACACAATAAAACAGATAAACAGAAAAAATAGTGCAAGTAAATACAAAAAGAACAATAGTAAATTAGTGAAATAGTGAAATAGTGCAATAAGACTCTATACAAGTGATTGGAATAGAGAACCGCAGTGACGCGTCCTAAAACCCGGAAGTAAACTCCTTCCGGTTCCTTCGTCAAAAACCAATGCAATTTCTCCATAGGATTTTGGAAAATAGCTCGAAATAAGGTCTGTGGTTGAGACACATTTAAGAGACGGATCACGTTTTGTTCAGCCGGATAATATCCACATGTCTACCCTATACTTTTATAATTTTCTAATCATAAATCTAGTCGCCAGAAGCAAAATGCTAACGTTATGCTATACACGAACTACAGCAGGGTCGCTGCTTCAACGTCACGCAACTTAAGATCCATATTCAAAACTACAGATTCAAAATTGTTCAAGTTGAAGCGTTTGTTTTAACAGTTTGCAAGAGCGCAGGTACTTGCTTTCAAGCAGAACAGGGCAAACAAACTTAGCGGGAGTGTTTACGTGTTCGGTGTAATGACGTACAACGTCCTCGACAACTTCTGTAGTCCTATTCAGCCACTTGTTAACAACCATCGTTTTTCAGACACGTAAACTCTTCAAAAATCACCAGCGGGGTCACTGCTGATGTATTTAATGTCGTAGAACAAAACGTGATCTGTCTCTTCAATTTGTGTCAAACACAGACCTTATTTCCAGCTATTTTCCTAAATCCTATGGAGAAATTGCATTGCTTTTTGTCGAAGGAACCGGAAGTGGTAAAAATGCTAACTTACTTCAGGGTTTTAGGACTGCGGTTCTCTATATGATATATAAGATAAATAATTTCTAAGTTGCAGCCAGATGAATGTAATGGATGTTGTTCAAAGTTCAGGTGTTTAATAGTCTTATTGCCTGTGGGAAGAAACTGTCCCTGAGTCTGGTGGTTTTAGTCCTGATGTTGCGGTACCGCCTGCCAGACGGCAGCAGACAGAACAGTTTGTGGCTGGGGTGATGGGGGTCTTTTATAATCCTGAGGGCTTTCTTTAAAGGTAGGGTATGTAAGTTTGAGAAACCGGCTCGAGATCGCTAGAATTTGAAAATACACGACCGGAGAAAATCTGCCACTTCCTTATAGAGCCCCTCCTCCAACACACACGAACGCGCACATGACCAATGAGGGCACGAGATAAGTTTGTGCACAGATGGAAGGCTGACAGGCAGGTAGGCCATCCAGTTATTTTAGCCGGGCCGGCTAAAATGATTGGTCGTGCTTTTTACAGTACTACGGCTTCCACAGATGACATTTTTGTATGGATTTTTTGTCAAAGCACTTAAGATATTCATTGCTATCGGGATGAGCATTCCATGGAATATAACAAAAAGTGTATCTCGAGCCGGTTTCTCAATCTTACATACCCTACCTTTAAGGTTAACCTGGTATTTTTACTCCACTACATTTATTTTTGTTACTTTACAGATTTTGGATTAATGATGTGAAATATAAACAACCCTTAAATCAGACTTTAGAGCATTACAAGACATCTATCAATATGTGTG